ATGTGAATACTTTTGTTTTGGCACAATACAAAGTGTCTATAGTGGAGTATCATAGGCAAACTTATGACTAGTTAGGATTCATTATTTTAAGATTAAGATTAGTATTTCTGTGTTTATAGTCAGTGGGTGAGTGAGTGTAATTGTGAACCACCAGGTGGTTATCATGTAGTTAGTTGTCGGGGTGGATCAGGGAGATAAGATGTTTTCTAACTGTAGTTTTGAAAGTGATGAATGTGTCTGCAGTTCTAGAGTTTTCAGGTAGGGTGTTCCAGATTTTAGGTCCTTTCAAATACATTGAATTTTTGTAAAGGTTTAGTCGGACACGGGGAATGTCATAGAGATGTTTGTGTCTGGTGTTATGCCTGTGGATCCTGTCACAACTATCAAGAAAGCGTTTTAGGCCAAGGTTAATATTGGAATTTAAGGTCCTGTAGATATAGATTGCACAGTAGTAAGTGTGGATGTTCTGAACAGGGAGTAAGTTTAGATCTATGAAGAGTGGGGGGGTGTTGCCAGGGATGGGATTTAGTGGTTATTCTTACTGCGGCTTTTTGTTTGGTTATTATTGGCTTTAGGTGTGTTGCTGCAGTTGAACCCCAAGCACAGATAGCATAGATGAGGTATGGATATATAAGTGAATGGTATAGTGTGAGAAGGGCAGTTTGCGGCACGTAGTATCGTATCTTGGAGAGGATCCCCACCGTTTTGGATACTTTTTTTGTTATGTGTTGGATATGGGTGCTGAAATTTAGGTTGCTGTCGAGGTATAGGCCAAGGAATTTGCCCTCATTATGTCTGGCAATTAGAGTGTTGTCGATCTTAATGTTAAGTTGCGCAACACCTGCTCTGCTACCGAACATAATATAGTAGGTTTTGTCAGTGTTAAGTGTAAGTTTATTGGCTGTCATCCAAGTCGATATTTTGATCAGCTCTTCGTTAACAATGGTGTTGAGGGTGGCAAGATTAGGGTGGGCGATGACATAAGTCGTGTCGTCAGCAAAGAGAATGGGTTTCAGGTGTTGGGATATGTTTGGAAGATCATTGATGTAAATGAGGAAGAGCAGGGGTCCAAGGACACTTCCCTGCGGAACTCCAGTATCAAGTGGCCGTATTGATGAGGCTGTGTCTTTAATGGTGACATATTGATACCTATTAGAAAGGTAGGATTTGAAATATGCAAGCACATGGCCTCTTATACCATAGTGGTCAAGTTTGTGGAGTAGGATGCTGTGGTCTACTGTGTCAAACGCTTTTCTTAAGTTTACCTATAACTTTATTTGGGTATACCTGAATAAACTTAATTACTTAGTGCTTTTTTCAGCCTCCAGACACAGAAGTAGGCCTAATATGGCAGCTTGTGCTCCAGTGCCCTTAATTACATTTGTGGTCAAAATAACCATTACATAGGTTAAGCAATATTATTGCTATTATATATTATATAGTTAAGGTTGGTGTCACTTTATAACCATGATAATTAAAGGTTAGTGTCAAGAGTGACAGTCACTTCTTTTTAAGTACATTACTGACAATACACAAATACAATAATATTGTTGTAGTATTGATGTCTTATGGCAGAGATGATAATATCTTTTCTTGCTAATCAGTATGTGGAAGTATCAGCTAAGAACAAATTGCACCATACAATCTGACAATTGTTTTCCTTTTAATTAAAATCGGTTTATAACAATATACAATTATTCAAATTGGCATGGGAATTATTCACTATCCTAAGGTAACCAGACAAATTTGACAACCCTGGATATGACTGTCCATGCAAATAATATGTATCATAAAGGTTAACGTGTCAGTAAGTAAGTTTATTCAGGTATACACAAATACAGTTACATAGATTATCATACATAGCAGCATATGTGTACAGAACCTGGGATAACCAAAAAAAGTCAAAGTGACTTATTTCCATTGGAGTCCTTGTAATACCTTATTATTATACAATGTAGGAAATATCTTATTATTATTATACTATAAAGAATATATAAAAGGAATAATGTAAATAGAGCTATTGACGTTTACATGTTTGTATTCTAGTCACTTATATTCTTGTCTCCTGGGATCTTAGGCTGAGTATTTTGTTTCGTGTAGTATTGTTATAGTTATAGAAAAGTTTTAACTTGATGAAGGACTTCATGAAAAGTTTTGTATAATTTAGATTTCTTTTGTTTCAATAAGTCAACACGAGTATTTGTATGGAAATTAATACATGTACAGTCGAATCTTGGTTCTCAATTGCATTACTTGTCCAGTTAAATAAGTTTTTGAATGAAGTTTTTGAGAAAACATGTCCTGGTTTTCGTACGTTCTTTTGGTTGTCGATGGACAAGTTTTCACGTGTGTGGAATGAGACAAAGCAACTCAGGTCACATGCTCAAGAAATGCAGACTGGACAATGGGTCGAGAGCGTAGCTATGAGTCATTATAGCCACTAACTCACATGTCGTAAACATCTCTTGAGCTTTTGTTGTGCATCTTGTGGACTTTTTTTTTGTTGTTGTTATTTTGCCGTTTTGATGCAATTTTTTGTGTGTGTGTGTGTGAGATAAGCCATCATGGGCCTGGAAAAAAATCACTGGACAGATGAAACAAAGAACCAGTAAGCCAGAATGAGGTCTTTATTTTCTTTTAGAACCTCTGTAATCTTTTGACTACAGCCCACAGGATGGGTATCGGGTGCATAATAAACATATTAAACTAACTTTTAGAACGAGAAACAAATAATGTTGTTTCTCGTTCTAAAGGGCAGTTAAATTTTCATTTACTGTGCAATATTTCAGTTGTATTTTCATTTAGTATTCATTTTTGTAGTTCCCCTGTGCTATATAAATTTATACATTGTTTTATATAGTAGTTAGAACATTATTAATGTTATATTGTCATTTGGAATCTGGAAGGGATTAATTCTACTTACATCATTTTGTATGGGGAAAATTGTTTTGGTTGTCAAATCGATATCTGGAACAAATTAAATTTGAAAACTGAGGTTCCACTATATTTGAAGTGCATATTACTAGTGTTTCAGTGAATAAATTTCTACATGTCTTTTGTATAACTCGGGGAATCTGTCTCACGTCCCACCATTATTGTATAAGCGAGCGGCTCATGTCCTTTAGCATGCTATTACATTACTTTTTAACAAGTCACTAGAAACTAGCACTTTCCCGACACTACTCAAGACAGCAAGGGTTACACCAATACATAAAGGTGGTGACCCTACAGATGTAAACAACTATAGGCCAATATCAAACTTACCATGCTATCCAAAATCTTCGAGAAACTCGTGCACAGGAGACTATATTCATTTATAACATCACAAAACATACTCAACCCCTGCCAATTTGGATTCAGGAAAAATAAAAGCACTAATGATGCAATTATAAAAATGCTAGACCTGCTTTACACAGCATTGGAAAATAAGGAATATCCGCTAGGAATTTTATTAACCTCAAAAAAGTTTGACACAGTAGACCACGGCATCCTACTCCACAAACTTGACCATTATGGTATAAGAGGCCATGCGCTTGCATATTTTAAATCCTACCTTTCTAATAGGTATCAGTATGTCACCATTAAAGACACAGCCTCATCAATACGGCCACTTGATACTGGAGTTCGGCAGGGAAGTGTCCTTGGATCCCTGCTCTTCCTCATTTACATCAATGATCTTCCAAACATATCCAAACACCTGAAACCCATTCTCTTTGCTGACAACACGACTTATGTCATCTCCCACCCTAATCTTGCCACCCTCAACACCATTGTTAACGAGAAGCTGCTCAAAATATCGACTTGGATGACAGCCAATAAACTTACACTTAACACTGACAAAACCTACTATATTATGTTTGGAAGCAGAGCAGGTGTTGAGCAACTTAACATTAAGATCGACAACACTCTAATTGCCAGACATAATGAGAGCAAATTCCTTGGCCTATACCTCGACAACAACCTAAATTTCAGCACCCATATCCAACACATAACAAAAAAAGTATCCAAAACGGTGGGGATCCTCTCCAAGATACGATACTACGTGCCGCAAACTGCCTTTCTCACACTATACCATTCACTTATATATCCATATCTCACTTATGCTATCTGTGCTTGGGGATCAACTGCAGCAACACACCTAAAGCCAATAATAACCCAACAAAAAGCCGCAGTAGGGAACAATCACTAAATCCCATCCCTGGCAACACCCCCCCCCCACTCTTCACAGATCTAAATTCACTCCCTGTTCAGTACATCCACACTTACTACTGTGCAATCTATATCTACAGGACCTTAAATTCCAATATTAACCTTGACCTAAAACGCTTTCTTGATAGTTGTGACAGGATCCACAGGCATAACACAAGACACAAACATCTCTACGACATTTCCCGTGTCCGACTAAACCTATACAAAAATTCAATATATTTCAAAGGACCTAAAATCTGGAACACCCTACCTGAAAACTCTAGAACTGTAGACACATTCATCACTTTCAAAACTACAGTTAGAAAACATCTTATCTCCCTGATCCACCCCGACAACTAACTACATGATAACCACCTGGTGGTTCACAATTACACTCACTCGCCCACTGACTATAAACCCAGAAATACTAATCTTATTCTTAAAATAATAAATCCTAACTAGTCATAAGTTTGCCTATGATACTCCAATATAGACACTTTGTATTGTGCCAAAACAAAAGCATTCACATTGCTAAACTCACAAATTATGATGTAGTCACTTAGCCTTAATACCATAATCTGTAAGGATTTATTGTGAAGAATTAATCTAATTCTGCCTGAAATGCCTAGCCATGCTAGGTGTCCTAGTGGCCCCCTCTGTAATTAGTATCTTATAACATGTAAACCACACAATATTCAAAACCTGTAAACCCCACATTGTAACCCTTATAGAGAATAAACTTATTGAGAATTGAATTGTACTGTGAAAACCTATGCACAATTCATTCTAATTTTTCACATTCCTCAGGTGATGATATGACCAACATATGGGTGTAATGGTGAGGGTATTAACTTGGGTAGTGTGGCTTTGGGTGAGCATAGCGGACATCTCTCTTGCTCATAGTTCCCAGGAGGACCCATGTCTTCACCCACCTGTCATCAGTGCTTGGTACACCCATCAGGTATGTCCATAATTCATCTTCATATCCCCATACACTCACTTCTTCAAGTGCCTTTCAAAAAACTCTGAAGAGCTTAGTTAGTGATTCTTTTTTTCAACAAGTCGGCCGTCTCCCACCGAGGCAGGGTGACCCAAAAAGAAAGAAAACCCCCAAAAAGAAAATACTTTCATCATCATTCAACACTTTCACCACACTCACACATAATCACCGTTTTTGCAGAGGTGCCCAGAATACAACAGTTTAGAAGTATATACGTATAAAAATACACAATATATCCCTCCAAACTGCCAATATCCCAAACCCCTCCTTTAGAGTGCAGGCATTGTACTTCCCATTTCCAGTACTCAAGTCCGGTTATATAAAATACGTATATACAGTATATATATATGTATATATATATATATATATATATATATATATATATATATATATATATATATATATATATATATATATATATATATATATATATAATTTTTTTTTTCAACAAACCGGCCGTATCCCACCGAGGCAGGGTGGCCCAAAAAAAAAAAAAAAAGTTTCTCTTTTCAAATTTAGTAATTTATACAGGAGAAGGGGTTACTAGCCCCTTGCTCCCGGCATTTTAGTCGCCTCGCCTCTTACAACACGCATGGTTTACGGAGGAAGCCATGCGTGTTTTAAGAGGCGACTTCCCCATGGAGATAAGAGGAAATAAACAAGAACAAGAACTAGAAAGAAAATAGCAGAAAGCCCAGAGGGGTGTGTATATATATGTATGCTTGTACATGTATGTGTAGTATGACCCAAGTGTAAGAAGAAGTAGCAAGACATACTTGAAGTCTTGTATGTTCATGAGACAGAAAAAAGGACACCAGCAATCCTACCATCATGTAAAACAATTACAGGCTTTCGTTTCACACTCACTTGGCAGGACGGTAGTACCTCCCTGGGCGGTTGCTGTTTACCAACCTACTACCTATATATATAATATATATATATATATATATATATATATATATATATATATATATATATATATATATATATATATATATATATATATATATATTATATATATATAATATATATATATATATATATATATATATATGTATGTATGTATATATATATGTGTCGTGCCGAATAGGCAGAACTTGCCATTTTGGCTTAAATAGCAAGGCTCATCTTGCCATGTAAGACAAGTGAAAATTTGTGAATGCAATAATTTCGCCAAAATCATTCTGAACCTAACGAAAAAAATATATTTCACTGTGTTTGTTTAGTATTAAATTATTGTAAACAAATCTAAAATATATTTAGTTGGGTTAGGCTAAAATAAATTGCGCTTGTTATAATAAGGTTAGGTAAGTTTTCTAAGTTCCTTTTGGTGCAAAATTATAAATTTTTACATTAACATTAATGAGAAAATTTTAAAAAGGACTTAATTTTAAATGAGTTCTTGCTAATTGACCAGTTTTACATATTCGGCACGACATATGTATATATATATATATATATATATATATATATATATATATATATATATATATATATATATATATATATATATATATATATATGTATATATATATATATATATATATATACATATAAATACACAGCAGAACCCCTGCATCCACTGATTCGGTATCCACAGTTTCAGTTATCCACGGTTTACTGTGACCCATAAACGTCTCTTCATGTTGCATAATAATGGCCCCAAAGTAGAAAAGTTGGTAGTTCTTGAAAGCCTTAGAGAAGCCGTGAAGTGCTTCCCATCAGTGAAAAAGTGACAATTCTCTACTTATTGTGCATAATTTATCAACTAAACTTTAAAATTGGTATGTATAGGACTTATACATAGGTTTTGCTACTATCCACGCTTTCAGTATCCATGGCAGATCCTCAGAAAGTATCCCTCATGGATGTGGGGTCCTACTGTATAGACATACCTAGTTACTTTGTAAAGTATATTTTGAACATTAAAATGGTATAAAATACCGACAGGTTGTTAGGTAAGACACATATGCAACAGTTAGGTATCTTTATTGTTTCATACTATGGAACAATGCTCTTCTCCAGACTGAGGGACTGACCACCTCAAAACTTTAAGGGTGATGGACTGATTACATCGTCTTCAAGTATCTTCTGCTTCTATCAACCTTTCCTGTACTTGACTGAAGAAGCCTACTGTGTAGGCGAAACGTTTCACAATAAAGATACCTAACTGTTGCATATGTGTCTTACCTAACAAAGTATATTTTATACTTGCATATTTAATGTTTATATGTAAACACTTGATCTACACATCCCCTACTCATTCTAAAGCCTCCTTATTCATCTGCAATCCTGCTCTCTGTCTTACCTCTAATTCTTTCAATAATAACCCCACCATACAGTTTACCTGGTATACTCAGTAAACGCATTCCCCTATATTTTTTACAATCTTTTTTTGTCCCCCCTTTCCCTTTATATAAAGGAATTATACATGCTTTCTGTCAATCCATAGGTACCTTCCCCTCTTCCATACATTTTTCTTTTCTTTCAACACACCGGCCGTATCCATGGGACTAAGAACTCCTCCCTGCGGTGTACCTAAAGACATTTCTTTAGACTCACTTCTGAAGCCTTGGTAAAGGACAGAGGATACTCTATTTGACAGGTATCCTATTATCCAGCAGAGTAAGCTACCACCAATATTCATTTTGGCTAGTTCATGTAGTATAACGGTTCTGTTCGCAATATCAAATGCAGATTTTAGATCAAGAAAAGTGGTAAAACTATTAGAGGTGTGTGCAGTGAGAAAGGTGGAAATACAGTTCTGCACACTTTTACCTTTCATGAACCCATAGAGGTAGGGGGAAAGTTGGTGTCTGATTCTGTAGTACAGTCTGTTAAGTATCATTCTTTCAAAAGTTTCACAAAGACAACTAGTTAAGGAGATCGGCCTAAATGTATCAGGCTGCTGGAGCTTAGGGATAGGCGCAATGAGACTATTGGTCCAGGAAGTAGTAGTCTCATTGTGCCTATCCCTAAGCCCCAACAGCCTGATACATTTAGACCGATCTCCTTAACTAGTTGTCTTTGTAAAACTTTTGAAAGAATGATACTTAACAGACTGTACTACAGAATCAGACACCAACTTTCCCCCTACCTCTATGGGTTCATGAAAGGTAAAAGTGTGCAGAACTGTATTTCCACCTTTCTCACTGCACACACCTCTACTAGTTTTACCACTTTTCTTGATCTAAAATCTGCATTTGATATTGCGAACAGAACCGTTATACTACATGAACTAGCCAAAATGAATATTGGTGGTAGCTTACTCTGCTGGATAATAGGATACCTGTCAAATAGAGTATCCTCTGTCCTTTACCAAGGCTTCAGAAGTGAGTCTAAAGAAATGTCTTTAGGTACACCGCCGGGAGGAGTTCTTAGTCCCATGCTATTTAATATTCTGAGTAATGCTCTCCTAAATGCTCTACCTGCCTCACCTAAACATATAGCTATAAGCTATGCTGATGATATCATGATCCATACAACAGGGCATAAGAAGATGATTACCATTCTTAATGAAGTTCAAGCAATTTGTAATCGACTAGGCCTCATAATATCTTCCTCTAAAACAAAGATATTAACAAGCAAACGACATCCCCCACCCATCTATTTGCAGGGTGAAATCATTAGCTACGTTAAAACTTACAGATATCTTGGTGTAGATGTACCCTTTAACAAATCCACTATACCACAACTAAACAAGAAACGTAAAGCTAGGCTAAATGCTCTCAAAGCTGTTGCTGGCTACAACCCCAACTATGGTGCTAATGTGAGAATCGTGAGAATGATGTACATAGCCTATGTTAGGTCCTTAATTGATTATGCTGCTCCCATGTTGATGTTAGCTAGAGAAAGTTCTCTCCGACCCTTGGAGTTAATGCAAAATGATGTCCTTAATTGATTATGCTGCTCCCATGTTGATATTAGCTAGAGAAAGTTCTCTCCGACCCTTGGAGTTAATGCAAAATGAAGCTCTCAGAATTATTCTTGGCTGTCCCAGATCTACAAAAGTTCTTAACATGAGGAAGGTGCTTGGTATTTCTAGTATCAGTGATAGGATTGTTGAGATTAACACTGTACTCGGTATTAGAATGTTGAGAAACGAACCAGACACTGTCACAATGAATCTTACCAAGTGTCTAGAGGTAAATACACACAGATCTAAATGGATTGTGAAAACGTGCAATTGCATTAAGCTTTATAACCTGCATGAACTGTATCACTGTAGGCAACAAGAGCATTTCACCCCTCCGTGGATGATGTGCTCATTTAATATCACATACCTGCAAGTCCCTCCCAAGAAACTCATTGCTAGTAATCCCTTCCTTAAATCACTTGTTAGAGCAACTGCTCAAGAAGAAATTTCTCACCTAGCTGGTAGTAATAAGTTATCACAAGTTATATACACTGATGGATCTAAACAGGAGTTTTCTGGCAGGGCTGCATCTGCTCTTGTTGTCACCTCCCTAGTTAAGAACGATAATAAATTTGTTGAGTTAGGCATAAGAATTAACAACTGGGCGTCTACACTGCAAACTGAATTGTTTGCAATCCTAATGGCGCTAAAGCTAACCTATGACACTGAGCTTGACTCTATCATCATTGCTGATTCTATGTCATCATTGAAGGCTCTTGACTCATATAATGACTCCAACAACATGCTCATTGGAGAAGCCAGGTATAGATACTCAAAAATTAGGGACAAAGGAATTAATGTACAATTGCTATGGATCCCGTCACACATTGGATTACTCCTTCATGATGAAGTTGATATGTTAGCCAAGAAGAGTACCCAGAAGGAGAACGTAGAATATAACTTTGGTATAACTGTGTCTAGCATTAGGAATATTAGAAGAGAAGTAAATAATGAAAATGATTGTTATAGGAATGCAGTTAGAAGCCTGAGTAGATCTATTACCTGGAGTTTACCTGGAGAGAGTTCCGGGGGTCAACGCCCCCGC